GTCCTGAAGAAGAATTAGTTGGAAGACAATAGTCTGTAGCATAATGTGCGGGTGGGCCAGGCCATTACCGCCGTCTGGCGCGATCCCTGCATACCCAAGGTGCTCGAGCACTCGAGCGAGTTCTATCTCATGGACTCTGCGCCATAGTACGTAGCCTCAGCTCCCTCTCTCTCTCTCTCTCTTTTTCCCTCTCTTTGGCAGCGCAAATCGTCTAACCCACCGCAGTTTCTTCGACGAAGTGGAGCGGATAGCCGACCCCAACTACATTCCCATCGAATCGGACGTCCTACGCGCGCGTACCAAGACGACGGGTATCTACGAGACACGCTTCACAATGGGCCAATTGAGCATCCAGTACGCACGCTCCTTCAAACACACCCCAGGCGCATTCGCTAACCTGAAACAGTATGTTTGACGTGGGCGGCCAGCGGAGCGAACGCAAGAAATGGATACATTGTTTCGAGAACGTCACATCCATCATCTTCTGCGTCGCCTTGAGCGAATACGACCAGGTTCTGTTGGAAGAAAGCTCGCAAGTAGGTGAACCGTATGCAAGGCTGGGGGGACTGAATGGGAAGCTGACGTGCTTGTACAGAACCGCATGATGGAGAGTTTAGTCTTATTCGACTCGGTCGTCAACAGTCGGTGGTTCATGAGAACGAGCATCATCTTGTTCCTGAACAAGGTCGACCTGTTCAAGGCGAAGCTGGCCCGCTCACCACTCGGCAACTATTTTCCAGATTACTCGGGAGGTAACGATGTCAACCGCGCCGCCAAGTACCTGCTCTGGAGATTTAATCAGGTGAATCGAGCGCACCTGAACCTCTATCCTCAGTACGTCGGCATTCCCCCCGGGGGGTTTTTTTTTTTTGCAGATTTTGTACTAATAAATACAGCCTCACACAAGCAACCGACACATCAAATATCCGCCTCGTCTTCGCCGCTGTAAAGGAAACCATACTCCAAAACGCCCTCAAAGACTCGGGAATCCTCTGATCGCCTGCCATGTACCCACTTCCATATTTCGCTACCGCCATCACACATGCACACCATCGGTCGCTGTGTATATACGCCCTTCATCCTCCCGCACATCTACCCACACTTACACATAACACGCTTCTACATAATACACGACTTCTCCTTCTTTACGATGACTGATCCCGCGAACTGAAATTCGAACCCCCCTGTTGTGTTGGCTTTTGACCAAAGCAACCCAAAAAGGACGGCCATGCTGGATACCAATAACAAGAACATACGACCATTGGGAAATCTGGGGAAACAAAGACATCTTTTCTTTTGCCTCTGAATGTATGAGCGCAGCAGCAAACCAGCATTGGAGTTTCTGGGCGTTTTTGCTTCGGCCCATTTGTTTTTTTCCTTTCTCTCTCCTTGCTCTGTTGAACACCTCTTTCTTTCTGTTTTTATTCCGTTTACATTGATGGGATGGATGGATGGTCGGCTGTTTTGGATTTTCTTGTTCTCCGCTGGATAGGCCCAACCCTTTTTCTTTTCTTTTTCTTTGTTTGCAACCGACTCTTTGTAGGAATTGTTCTGATGGGAAGGGTGATTGACATGGAATGGAATGGACTGGGATTGGGACTGGGACTGGACTGACTGACTGGAATGGATGGACGGATGGATGGATGGATGGATGCAATCCAAATGCGATGGGATGCGATGCGGATTGAATCTCTTTTATTTCCTTGTTCAAGCTGGTTAGGCTCAGGTTGCTCTCTCCGTCTCCCCGTCTCTGCCTCCCTCCCTTCTCTCCCTCCCTCTCTTTTGCGTTTGTTCCGAGCGATTGATGGAGTGACGGGATTCGACGGATTGACTTGTTGACCTGATCTGCGGAGCAAAAAAAAGAAAACATATCCAAAATCTCTCTCTGTCTCTCTCTCTCTCGCTCTCTCTCTTACCACAGGCCATGTATGTCTCTGCGTGGTTGAATATATCTTCCTCGTACCTTTTGTTTCTTTCTCCCGCCAGACGACTTGGTTCTTCTCCTTCCATCCAGACTCACCCTTTTTTTTCCAGTCTGTACGTCTGTTTGTCTGTTTGCCAAGTGGCCGGCTGGCTGAGTGGCGTGCGCGGCCAAGTGTCCGTGAGAAGATGTCGAGCGAGAGGATTATTGCCTAGATCGCCCTACGTCCGCTTGAGCAGAAGGCGGCGTTGTATTGTATTACTAGGGGAGAATAAAGAGGTTTGATGCATCAGTTTGGAGATTGTTTGGATGGGATTGGGGGTGCGGGTGAGGTGTTTGTGTGATGGGGGTGGGGTGGTACGGCGATTTTGTTCTCTAGACGGCCTGAATTTGTGGATGGGTTGGGGAGTGTTGCG